CGGGCATTTACTTTATTATTGCGCATGTGGCGAGACAAGGTGGGCTATGTCGGGGATTGATTTATGATGGGCAGGGAGCATTGTTGTTTGTTGAAATTTATTTATGATTTGGGACTAAGAGGCGGTACCTCGGGAGTGTACTTTTGTTGATATTTCTCTATGGCTGCACTTGCCTTTGGTTATTTTATTTTTCCGTAATATGTAAATTTATGTGTTCTCCGTGATATATTATTTGGCTTAATATTAAGTGTTTTATATTTCTTCTAGTATTGTGTTGGCTTTGGCTTTTTCGTACGAGACTCTGAAGATTTGTATTTCTGATTTGTACTTGTTCTTGATGATTGAGTTATTTTGAATAAAAGAAATTACTATTATGTTTTAATTTAATAAGTTGTACATCCAAATCAGTAGCTTATCTGATACTTTATTTTAATTGAAATGTCATTTTCTTCACCCAAACGAGTTCAAAAATAAACTTATTTCTTTGTTGATTTCTTACTTGGTTTAAAAATTATAAACTTACTTTATTGAAAATAATTGATCATGCGGATCTTATATACATTGATATTTTGGTACGTGAGTTATCCGTGCAGTTGTAATAGAGATAAAATATGAAAGTGGGTTGAGACCCGTGTTTTATGATTATGAAATGAGGTGTTAGAGAGTGACTTTTATTTGGAAGAATTATACTCGAAGGATATTTATTTGAATAAATTATATTCGAAAGATTTTTATTTGAAAAACTTATATGTGAAAGATTTTTATTTGAAGGACTTGATTAATTGGTTGTACTTGTGTTCCTTATTCGTTTGAGCAATATTTATGGTATTCTTGTTACCTTGTCGTTCATATCCCAGATTGATCTTTATTGCCGTCATTGCTACTTGTTTTCTATTATCCCTGCATATTACTATATTGCACAAGTTAAATGACTAGTGAGTATCTTGATTGTACCTCGCCACTACTCCACCGAGGTTAGTCTTGATACTTACTGGGTACCGACTATGGTGTACTCATACTACACTTCTGCATATTTTTGTGCAGAGCCAGGTATTGGAGATATCGGATTCGGACAGAGATTAGAGTGTGATCGCAAGGTTTTAAGGTAAGGTTGCTTGGTCGTCACAGTCCCTTGGAGTCTTTTTATTTTTTTGTACTGTCCACTCATATTCGAACAGTATTGTATATTCGATCCTTGGGATCACTGCATGTACTCAGTTAGAGTTCGTGACTCAGTATTACCAGTTTTAGGAGGTTGTTAATTAATTCCGTTGTTGGTTTCAATTATCTTATAAATAAATAAATAAATAATGGCTCGAAATGTAATTATAATCGGCTTGCCTAGTCTTAGAAACTAAGTGTCATCACGACGCCTGTGGTGGGATTTTGGGTCGTGACAATTAATATCCAAATGACTTATCTAGTGTGTTTGTGATATATACCAAATGTGTGATGTTAGATAATAATATGTTGGAGTAACAATGGAGCAATAAATGATTTAAGAATGTGAGAGATAGCAATAAATGACAATAAATGGTATTTAAGTAAATAATTGAACAAGGTTCATCCGACAAGGGTGAGATATTCTAATGATTTCTTTGACAATGATGGATAACGATAAGCCCTTGAATATTTCGATTCTTCTTGGATCGGAAGAGAAAGATAGACAAAAAAGTGTAAAGGCAAACTTTGTATGTACATGACAAAGAGAGAGAATTTGCAGAGAATGTCAATGTTATTTTTTACAAAAGTGTTCATAAAAATTCCCTCTGTAGAACTAAATCTATTCGTATTTATAAGGGTACACTGGATACAAAACCCTAGATAGTACAACAGAGGGGAATATTCGCTAGGATATTTCCTAAGGAATCTAAATCTTTAAATTATTTGCATGCCAAGTACGGATGCTCGTCCTCGTCCTCGTTTTCTGTTAAGCCACTTCGACCTCGACGACGATCTGCCTTCGTCGCGTGATGTCGACCTTTTGAGGTCAGATTGTCATGTCACATCGTCGACACATTGCAGCCTTCAAAGACTTTATCTCCGTTGACCTGGTTAACCTATGACATGAAGTTTTTTCACTCATACACTAACAATATTAGTACAATGAATTTTCTTTGAATAACTTTGAAATACTTCATCTCTTTCAACAATTATTATAGATAGTGTGGGACAAATCTGACATTAAAAGCAAATGGGGTGCTACTTTATACTTTACTCTAACAATTCAGACAATCAACTTATGCTTAAAGACCAGTCCACCATTGTTAAATCCTATATTCTACATTAATTCCCACTTTTACGTTTTCTATTTTCCCTAATCTTTTTCTTGGCAATTATACTAGGCTGGCAGAGGTGGCATTTGGCCTTTCTGAAAGGGGTTGGTTGAGGTGGGGTTTCAGTTTCTATTTCTAATATTCTGCAAGGACTACAAAAGGATATCAAAGAATATTGTGTATCTTCATGACATATTCTTGTAGCGAATATTTTATATTATTTTACTGTTAAAATTTATAGTGAGATGGATATGATCTTCTATCCTTAATTAGAGGTTTTAGTACTTTTTTTTAAATCTCTCCCAAATTTGAAGGATCTATAGTGTTTTTACACTTTCCCTCTAGCGTGACTCGAATTCAGAACCTAACGGACGTAGGTAAAGATGTTTTTACCAACTGAGCAAGCCTAAATCCTTAAACTGGTAAAAATCATGTTTTGGATCACTTCTCACTTTAATGAACCTTAAGTGTAGTCAATTCAAATTAATTAGAACTTTCATGCAAGTACCAAAAATAAAAAATATTTTCACATAAAAATACAAAATCCAAATGGAAAACAAATAACTCACTTCAAGATTTGCCTCTGCTTCAGTATCCCAATAAAAAAGAGAGTCATTTAAGTATGTGGAGTCCAAAAGAGCGTCATTACCAATTACCCCGTGACCCACCCACGTAGTATTCCTCCTCCGCCTGGCTTAAATTCCAGAAAGGAAAAAGGTGAGCAGACCTCCAGGCTCCAACCAAAAGTTGCCATATATTTTTTCACTTTTGTTGCCCTTTAATTTCCTCTCTGTCTTACTTTGTGTTAGGGAAGTGAATAATTATTAAGAGCGCGGTGTTTTGGAATACAGAGAGGAGCCAGTGTCATTGCTTTCTCCCTCTGCTCTCACTGCAATTCCTTCCTCAGCTTTTTTAGTTACACCTAACTACTCTTCTTGGTTTCACCGCCGACACTTATTTACTTCGTGTTTGTACCTCCACTTATGACTTCTCTACGCGGTTGTTGAGTTAGGTATGTACTCTTCTCTTCTTTTAGTGTTTCTTCTTCTTAAATATATATATATATATATATTCGGGGATTATACTGGTTTTATTTGCTGCACATTGAAAGACCGATAAGAAAATGAAAATCGTAGTACAATTTCTGTAAATAAAAAATCTCTCACTACTCTGATCATTTTGGTCGACTTGCCGGCACAATTTGAAACTTTAGGATTCTAATCATTTTAAGTTACTGAGTTTTAAATTATTGGGTTTGGCCAAATCCATAACCGAAAACTAGCTCCACCCCTGTTTGAGCGACGTCTTTTTTTGGGGAAAAGAGGTCAGGGTGCTTTTCTTTTGACTGTTTAATCCTGTCCATTTCAAGTGGTAATTGTTGTCACGTAATCAGCTCACTTTTGATACCATAATTTTTGCAGTCTCTCATTCATGGATGGCATGATAAAAATAAGAATAATTGCATATCTTGGTATGTCGTAATTGGAAATGTTGCATTAATTTTTGGGTCTCAACACCATTGCAAAAGAAAGAGGAAGGGAGAAGAAGGGGGTAGTTTATGGCAAAGCAAACCCAACCGCCGACCTTCTTTTTCTATCTTTTTCATTTTTTTCTTTTTCTTTTGAGTTTAACACACTAAGAAACGAGTTTAAAATTATACTATGAACTAACGGTGTAAAGTTATCAGATCACTTGTATGGTAAGACAAGTAAATCTTATGATAAACACTAATTGATTACGTAATAAAAATGATAACTAACCTATTATAATAACCTATTATAATAATATGTTAAAGCATACTTATGTTAAAAATAAAATCTCACTATTAGTGCATATTGTTTTTGAATCCCTAAGAAGTACCTATAAAAGGTACTAAATTCAAATATTATGGCAAGTAATATCTTTTATTAAAAAAAATGTTTATTACACTATCAGTGAACTAAATCTTTTCCTTTTACATCTTTTACTTCTCATACTCAATGAAAAGATCAACGTTTATACTTTTAGAAAAATTTAGTGTTGGGCGATTTGGATTAATTTTGATGTGCTGGGATTTTTTAAATTTGAATATAAAACTACAATTGTTTGCAATCTATATTAATTAGACTAGTAATTCAAACTCCAAAACGTTTGTTGAAACACATCCATCAGGTAAAAGGAATATCGCTCAAATCTTTCAAAAATGTGGTCTGGTAAAAATAATACTCTTATCAATGAAGCACACCCATCGAATCACCTTGCCTTTATACCAACGAAATAAAAATGTTACTGTAGTTCGATAGTGTGTGATAACTTTTGAGGGAAATATGTAAAAGTTAAAGGTATAAAGTACTCCAATCAAATGGGCCCTGTTTGTAAAGATAGTGTGTTGAGCTTTCTGATTTTGTTTAGCTGTCTGGATCATGTATTCATAATTGGCCAAATTACAATAAGGAAAAGAAAAATGTAAGCAATGAAAGAATACTAAAAATAATATCACTTTCCCATTTTCTAATATTCCCCTGCACCCAGATATGAAAGACAGCCCATGTTGAGAGATACCAACGACAAATAGTTCATGAATTAACTTTTATTTATGTCCATATCTTTCAGCTTTTTATGTTTGAAAAGAGAGGAACAGTAAGTGCTATGTTCATTGTATAACACTTAATCCTGGCTACTGACATCTAATGGGGTAATTCTTATTACCGAAACAAGTCGATAAATGGGAACACTGCATTGTCTTTTGCATATGATAAACTACTGGAAACTCAGGCACTCTGGAACTCTAATGTGATTATCCATACAGTTAAAACAAATATTGACGAACGGCTATTTTACATTGTTTTTACCCCTTTCGGTTTTCACTTCTTCCTCCTCCTGTTCATGCAGTGTTTCCGTCTTCTAGATATTGCTTTACATTGGAAAAATATTTTGTTTTACATATCTTTTAAACTCAGCATGTGTAATTGTTTCTGGCTTTTTACTTAATGTTTCTGAGTTTACTATAATCTACTGCAACAGATTTTCATCAGAAGGGGCTAAAAATGATAATAATCTCGTGTAATTGTTGCTTTTTTACCTCTGCTAGAGGCTAGAGAATTCATGCAAGGTGTAGCCAATGGAAAGACGGCCAAAGCAGAGTGGTGAAAGAAAGACAATGGAGAATGAAGAGCTTGTCAAATACATGTCAAGTTTGCCAAGTTACCTGGAAAAGGGGGAAAATCTGCAGGAGAAAGCTTTCAGTGTTGGCGTCCTAGATTGGCGTTTTCTTGAAAAATGGCGACACGAACATGTAAAAGAACCTTGTAGAACTAGTGGTTGTTCACCATCCACCAGCAATACCTTGTCATTTTCCTCAATGGAGGGATCTTCATCCAATTCTAGCAGAGCCAGAAGCTGCTCTCCTGCTCGTCGGAGGATTCATCGTCCTACATCACAATCTTATTATGCATCACCACCTAAAGGTAGTCGTCTTTGTTAGATTTTCTCCCACTGATTAAGGGAATGGGTTGTTTTCTCCTTTCCTTAATAAGTTTGGACAATCCTCACCTCGTGAGCTAGCTTTTGGGGTTGAGTTATGCCCAAGGTCCAATTTCTTAACAGTCTTGATGTCAAATCCTTTGCAGGAAGTTATGTACAGTTGCAAAACCAAAAACCTGGCGTAATTAAATCCCCGGAGATTGAGCAACTTGTCTGCAGGATATATCAGTCTTTTGATGAGTATCCACAAAGAAATATGCAAGAACTCGGCAATGCTCTACACCCGCGTAGGACTCCTCATGTTAGGAGATCACTTGATGTAGAGACTAAGACGAGAACATCACGTTCCAAGGGAAAGATGAAGATCCAAGATAGAGAATGTTTATCGAAAGGAGATTTTGATGATTTTGATTGCATAGAGAAACATAAATCAGATGTCCTTCAAGTACCAGAACCTGGCCAAGAAACTAACAGCTGCACAACTTTCTGCCCACCTGATTCAGTAGTGAAAGACCAGAGCGCGGTGAAATCAAGCAGACGGAGCTTTTCTTGTGGATTTATTTCTGCGTTCTACTATGGACAGTCCTCTTCAGATATCTCTAGTTCCAGCACCCTTCCTCATGATGCTGATGAGTCGAAGGTGGGACAAGCGAGTCCGATAGATGCAAAGGATAGTTGCCTTTCATCTAAGACAATTCAGCCTTCAACATATTCAGGAAACAAATTGTCCAGCCCACCTGGAACCAATTCCAAACAAGAGAAGAAATCAACTGTGATGCTTAAGAATCCAACTACACTTAATTCCGCAGAATCTACAAACATCAGAAATTCCTCTCCAACTCGTCAATTTAGCATGGCAATGGGAAGGATTGGCCAGATTTCAGGTATAAAAGATATGATCACTGGATCACAAGGTGTCAAATGGCCTGCAGAACAATCTAGTCCAAATAAAACTCAAAGTTCGTCCTCAATTGATACAGGCTGTGATAAATCAGACACCACTGGCCGAGCCAGGACTAGTCCTTTGAGAAGGTTGCTAGATCCACTGCTGAAGCCAAAGACAGGCAACTCTGATCACGTTAAATCTTCAACAAGACGTGGTGAATCTCCTACGAAACGCTCATTGAAAGTCAAATTGGATTTGAAGAGCTGTAAATCGATTGATATCGACGATCCACGTTCTAATGGCACATTTGTACCATCAAGATTGCAAGCTCTCCTCCAAGTAGCTGTGAAAAATGGTCTTCCTCTATTCACATTTGCAGTTGACAATGAAGTTGACATTTTAGCAGCCACAATGAAGAAACTTAATCCGAATTTGAAGGATTACAGTTGCTGGATTTATAATTTCTTCACCGTTCGTGAAACAAAGAAAAAGAGTGGAAATTGGTTAAATCAAGTAGAAAAAGACAGAAGTCATGGAATTATGCCTAATATCGTTGGAAAGATGAAGGTTTCTGATGTTCCATTCTCCGAATTGAATAGGCAGAAACTTGACTCACAGTTTAGGATTACGGAATTTGTTTTGTTTGCTACAGATCAGAAAGCATCTGACCTTCACCCAAACGATGAGCTTGCAGCTATTGTTGTCAAATTACCCAATAGAACCTCCATTTGTCCTAATGGAAGTGGCCATCAGGATAGAAACTGCAGTAATACTTCAACTTCAGGTTTAACAAATCCTTTTGAAGATCTTAACATGACAGTTATCCTTCCTGGTGGTGCACATAGCGTACCAAGTAAAGGCGAGCCTTCTTCACTGATTAACCGATGGAGGTCAGGTGGATCGTGTGATTGTGGTGGCTGGGATTTGGGCTGCAAATTAAGACTTCTTAGGAATCACACTAATCATCAAAGGATATCAAGTTGTTCCAAACCCAAACTTAATGCTGCAAGATTTGAACTTTTATCCCAGGTTATGATCTACATAAATACAGATTATCAAAATTTTACAGTAATTTTCGAATGTCTAATACACCATTGTGAAATCTTTTTGTTCTTGTTTGGCAGGGGGAAGCACGGGACAGTAAGCCTGTCTTCAGCTTGTCCGCATTCAAGGATGGCATATTTTCAGTTGAATTCAGTTCTTCACTGAAGGTTCTACAAGCATTCTCCATTTGTATAGCAGTTTTAAATGGTAGAAATCAAGAAAGCTTCCAAATGCAAACTTGATTGCTGAAAAATTCTTCTGAAGTAATCATGTTGCCAGAAGATCCAGAGGGAACCCAAGTGGAACTTCTTGCCAAATTTGTCTCAATTCCTTCACTTTCCCCTGTTGGAAAGGTGCAAGTGACTTGCTATACCAGGCATGGTGAAACATCAAACCAAAGGCTCTACAGTTTTTGTTTTAACTATAGCTAAGCTTGTAAAAAGTAACTATAAACAGGTTAAACATCAGTCAGTGATTGATAAAGTGAATCGCCATGAAGTTGAATAAGGCTCATGACCGAATAAAGCAATTGTAATTTGGTGTTGCTAGTGTAGAGTAATAAGTGTGTATCAGCATATGAATATACAGTAGATATTTCAATATTCCACTACTTCTTGATAGCCTTAGTTATAGCATCCAAAGGCAACAAGGGATGTTTATACTATACCACATTAATAGTATATGAATAGAAATATACATTACTTGACAATGGTTAATTAAGTTATAAAGGTGTACGTTAAATACATGTCATTTCTTCTTTCATTTGGTGTAGATACTGCGTACCATTAATTTTTTTTCCTTTACCACATCATACCCGTCAAATGAGTTAGTTGGACAATTTACCATCCTCAATTCTAAAATTCATAGCAAAACACACGTAGTTAAAAGAACTTAATTCGTTTTTTCTGAGAATTAAATTAACTATACTTGACATATATTTTGCATAGAAATTTTAACCATTTAGTAATAGTTGTATGATATGTATTCTCATATTTTAATTTGTGTTTATTGTTGTTGAATTGTTTAGTTAACGTAAATATTAGATACTAATAAATACTTTTCTGTGATCGTATGTGGATAAAGAAAGTGTTCTCATGGGATAAGAGCGACAACGTTAATTTCTTCCGAAAGAATAGAAAAGGTAGCTCTTGGGTCAAAAAACGGTCTTTTGTTTCTTCCATGTTTCTCTGCTTCTTCTCCCCTGTCCCAACCGAAAGAAACAGAAATCTCCCTCTCCTCTTTCTTTTGGGATAAATAAATATAATGTAGGCTGTAGCAGTTTAGATTCTTGATCATTGCTAAGAATGACAAAGCCTCTCTGTTCCCAGTAGCAAGCGAGGCAGAAAAAGAAACACCATTAACGCCCCTTGCATTGCATTTCTCTTTGTAGAAAAAATTTGTGGGCTGCCTTATTCGCTTGCTCACATTTTGAGAGCATTTGAATATTGACTTTTGAAACACACCGTTATAATCTCTCTTCTTCCTTTTTTTTTTCTCCCAAAATTTTCCCGTTGTCGTTTTCTATAGGTGAGAAAAGGGACTTTTAGAGGAGAAAAGTTGTCACCAATTACACATATTTGTGACCCCTTTATCTCCCTAAAGGTCTTTTTTTTTTTAAATTTAATATATCTGAATTCTTGAAAAAATTATACAATGGGTGCACGTTGTTCCAATTTGTGTTTCTGTTTATGGCCTTCAAACATCAAGTCCCATGTTCTGTATACCTCTGATATCGGTAAGCTCTTTCATTCTTTTGATAATGTGGGATTCTCAAGAATCAATCTTAATTATGTTGTTGGCATTGTTTCTGTGATTCAGAAAAATGGGCGGAGAATGAGCAGCTGAATTTGCCAGCTTTCAGAGAATATAGTTTGGAGGAGCTGAAGGCTGCCACCTCAAGTTTCTCCATTGATAATATAGTTTCAGAACATGGAGAGAAAGCCCCTAACGTTGTGTTTAAAGGTCAGCTTGCTGGTAATGGCCGTTGGATTGCTATCAAGCGCTTCCACTCGTCCGCATGGCCTGATTCTCGCCAATTCCTAGTCAGTATTCTCTTTTCATATCTTGTTTCATTCAAGTTGTAAAGCATTTTTGGTGGTGGGCAATTGTTAGGTCATGTTATGGCTTTGGGTAAATAATGCTAAATTATGTAACCGTTAGAGGGGTTACAGTTTAATTTACTTAATTATGTTTTCAACACTGCGGGCCTGATTCATTTTGATAAAGGTAACTGTGAGACTTGAACCTATAATCTTTGTCTATCCTATACCATATTGAATTATATAACCAACTCATCTAAAAGTTTAAGATGTTAGAGAGGATACACTTTTATTTACTTAATTATGTCTTCAACAAGAATGTGATTTGTATTATATTGATTTGGAAATTGCCTATTCATTGTTAAGGATGAAGCGAAAGCAGTGGGGCAGCTAAGGAGTAAGCGGTTGGCTAACTTATTAGGTTGTTGCTGTGAAGGAGATGAGAGATTATTAGTGGCTGAATTTATGCGTCATGAAACATTATCCAAGCATTTATTCCATTGTAAGTTTTGCTCATTCTCCTTTTCTGGATCTTGTGACCGATAAGATAGAGAGAAAGCAATTGAAAATCCTTCATATTCATTCTCATTGTGGTGTGGTTCATGTGCTTGACATGTCAACTTAAGCAATCACTCTGTAAACTAGTCTCTATCTAATAGGACTTAACAAGATATGCTTTCGATATAATTGCCTAACTGTAGATTATGTTGGTTCAATTGATTTAGGGGATAACCAACCATTGAAATGGGCGATGAGGTTGAGAGTTGCTTTGTATTTAGCACAAGCATTAGACTACTGCAGTAGTAAAGGGAGAGAACTATATCATGACCTAAACTCTTACAGAGTTTTGTTCGATCAAGTAAATTTTCTTTTAATCTTTACCCTACATGTATATGTGCTCCGTTAAATGTTCAAGCTATCTTCTGTACTTCATTGTTCTTACTACGAGTCAGCACATGACAGGATTGTGATCCAAGGATATCATGTTTTGGCTTAATGAAAAACAGTAGGGATGGCAAGAGTTATAGTACAAACTTGGCCTTCACTCCGCCGGAGTATTTAAAGACAGGTATCTCATCTGCTATCAAGTTTTTAAGAGTCACCTGTTAAATTCTAGGTTCGTTGGAATTCAAGGGCCCTATATCAATATGTTGGAAAGTCATCATCAAAATTGTGAAACAACTTAAATTTTGGTCATTGTCAAATAGCTCTCATAATGAAGTGTCAGTACAAAAGATTGAAATCTGATTGGCTCACCAATATGATAAAAATCTCTCTTTTCTCTTGGTTTCCGTTTACTCATATTGGTTCTTATACATCAGTTTGAGAATGAATGGGTTGTCGCTGGCTCAGAGATGGTCCATTTCTAGATTTTTCTTGGATTTAACATGTTTTTTGTCTAATACTATAGATAAGAGTGGGTTGTTCTAGTGGTGAGCACCCTCCACTTCCAACCAAGAGGTTGTGAGTTCGAGTCACCCCAAGAGCAAGGTGGGGAGTTCTTGGAGGAAGGGAGCCGAATTTCTATCGGAAACAGCCTCTCTACCCTATGGTAGGGGTAAGGTCTGCGTACATATTACCCTCCTCAGACCCCACTAGTTGGATTATACTGGGTTGTTGTTGTTTTGTCTAATACTATAACATGAAGAAGTTCAATAGTAAACTAGTCCGATGAGTATAAGTGAGTAAACTTAACATGTGTTTATCAAAGCAATTGAAGATAATCCATCTTTTTCAATACAGTTAGTTATTTATTTGGTTCAATGTTTTAACGGGATTGTAATGGCAGGTAAGGTGACCCCAGAGAGTGTGGTTTACAGTTTTGGCGCCCTGTTGCTTGATCTTCTTAGCGGGAAGCATATTCCTCCTAGCCATGTAAGTTCTTGGTTTTGTTTGTTTGAGCTTAACAAAAAGAAAAGGATATGATGATAAACACTCAGATGTTATGGCTTGATTATCTCCCACTTATTTTACAGTATCTCCTCTTTTTTACTTAATTATAGTACCTTGTTCTCCTAAATGAAATAGCCGCGTGGAGTTGAGTTTTCTGATCAGTTTTAGAGCTGGTTTGAAGTTATAATTTTCACGAGGTCTTGGGATTGGAGATTCAAAACTCTGAATTGATGTGAAGAATATATGTTATTGCCCATTATCTTCGATTTCAGTTACTTCTCCTAAACATGCTCTGTTGATTTTTGAACTACAACATGTTTATCAATAGCCTGATTTATTCAATCATTCCCTCAATCCTAAATAGTTTCAACTGAAGCGTTTCTGATCCCAAATTCTTCTTATGCAGGCACTTGACCTTATAAGGGGAAAGAATTTTCTGATGCTTATCGATTCTTGCTTGGAAGGTCACTTCTCAAATGACGATGGGACTGAGTTAGTGCAACTTGCTTCACGTTGTTTGCAACATGAACCTCATGACAGGCCAAATGTGAAATCTCTTCTGACCTCTCTAACATCTCTTCAGAAAGAAAAAGATGTACGTAATTAGTCCTTTCGTTTTGGACTTGATGCATTTTACTTTTTCTATCGTCTATAACAGCTAAGTTGAGAGTATACTGTAATTACATGGATAACAGATTGAAATTATTTTACTTAAACTGACATGTTATTTGACTCTCCAGGCTCCATCAAACGTTCTGATGAGTATTGCTCATGAAACCACCTCACCCTCCCAAGTACCTTTAACGCCGCTTGGTGAGGCTTGTTCAAGATTAGACTTAACTGCCATACATGAGATTTTAGAAAAGGTTGGATACAAAGAGGATGAGGGGATCGCTAATGAGGTTAGTATACTAAGAATACCTTAACAGGAAATGCTATGAGGGGAAGTTTCCTGGTTCTAATGAAACTAAAAGTGAAGATGTCATTCTTTCTCTTGAATTAGCTTAGGATGCTTTGTAGTTACAGATTTATATTCTTGTACTCGCTAATGTCCGAAGCAACACTGGATGTCATTCTGAGTTATAGCAAATTGCAGCTATTAATTAGAATGCCATTACTGTGACAGCAGATCCCATTATGTGAAACTCTTTTTTCCTTTTGCAGCTTTCATTTCAGATGTGGGCTAATCAAATACAAGAAACCCTGAATTCTAGGAAGTCTGGCGATTCTGCATTTCGGGATAAAAATTTTACTACTGCAATCAAATGTTACACAGAGGTAAGCCATCAATTTGGAAAAGCATAATGCATGCACCTCTCCTGTTTCAAACTTAAAATGTTAAAAAAGCGGAAACTGTCATATCACCAATTAGTTGGGATCATGTTAATACGTTTATTTTAGGTCCTATGTTTGCTAGGGATCTTTTAGTCTTGTATGCCAGTAGAAAATATAGAGAACTTATTGGCCTGAGATGAGCTTAAGTAGAACGACATGGTCAATGAAGATTAATATAGTCAACCCCGACTTGTTTGGGATTGAGGTGTATATAGTGATCTAGCTGCCATCTAAAATTGAGTATTGATCAAACAGCTTGTTTTGCTTGCACTGCAGTTTCTTGAGGGTGGAAATGTTAAGTCCCCAACTGTGCTCGCAAGGCGCTCGTTATGTTATCTAATGAGTGACAAACCACAAGAAGCTCTTGCAGATGCAATGCAAGCACAAGTGCAATTTTCCAATTGGCCAACTGCTTTCTATCTTCAAGCAGCTGCACTCAACACCCTGGGAATGGACTCAGATGCCCGGGAAACACTCAAAGATGGCTCCTCCTTAGATTTCAGAAGAATGAGACAGTAAATGTTGAATATACTTCTACACACACAAAAAAAAGTCATTGTACATATCACCTTTCATACATGAATCATCAATATCAGCACACAAGTTTTCTTCATAACATCCATTAGAGCACAGGTGATTAATTTCTCATTCTGCTTCTTCTATTTGGGATAGCTGGTGTATCTCTACTTTTGGTAGTTATTGTGCGAGTTTCACAGACGAAAAAAAAAAGAGGAAAAATTAAACATATAAAGCAACGGAGCCATCATAGTATTTCTTTTAACTCCCCCGAAGGGAAGGATGGTAATTTGATCATTTACTCATGTGAGTCTGATAGATTCTATTTTTCTCTTTCTCCAATATTGGCATTGGAGCTGAAGATGGAGGCTTCCCTTACTTAGAAATTCCTCTGAAAGCTGGGAGATTAGGATCTATTTGTTAGCCAAAACAAATACAAGTATGAAGTACACCAAAACAAAGCATTTCTTACATTCAGATTTCAAAGCTTGTCACCACTGACTATTACAACTGCAACCAAGATTTATGCCAGCACTGTAGTTGTAGGTCAACAGCCTAAAATATTCTATAAACTGTAAAGAAAATGGATATTGGATCTAACTCAACCCCAAACTCATGAAGTGATAATTGTCCAAAACCATATAAGGAGACTGCACATCGCATTCCCTCAACCAATGTGAGATATTCTAACATCAGCTATGGTAGCTGCACGGAGATAACGATATGTCAACTTGAAGAAGTACTCCAAAGCACAAAGTGATCTGTATTGGCAAGCATCAAAACTGTTTTTGAACTAGTATTATCTCCACTGTAATAAACTTATAGAGAAGTCTGTAAGCAAATCCCAGAAATTCCAGAAGTTAGTTCCATGGTCTCAAGTTTCTGACACCTCAGTATGGTGCAAACTCAGTTTCTCAAAACTCAAACAAACACCATAATATTGTTCCAGTTGCTTGCGAGTGCTTCTAGACTCATGGTGTGGAAAGCTAATTTACACTTCTGGGGGAAATATGAAACCAATTGAATATAAAAAATATAAAGGATCAGAAATTCAGAACTTTCAAAAGTCAACTGAAATCCACAATATCGTTTTACAGTATGATCAAACATAAAAGAACCCTCCACAAACGGTTTGCAGTTTTTGAGACGCAGAGGACTCACAGGATACAGGCTAAATATATCGGAAGCAAAGTTCGTTGATTGGAACACACTTAGAGCAGAAAAACATGACCACACAACTAAGCACCATGAAATATTTGTACAAAAGTGCAATACTGAAATATAACAGAATACACTGCACCATCACCACAGCTTAATTTGGAACATGGATACAGATGAGATTTCAACATGGATATGGAGGACAATTCGCTCCTAGCTGGTAAGAATTCTTTCCTTATGAAGGGTTTGATGAACAAATAAGTCATTGTTCCTCCTTGTCATCTTCCATTCCCAGTTACAAGTCATTTTCTCAAAAACATCATCGTGAAGGAATGCTCTTGACAAGTGCGTGACATTTATCAAAATCCTCCATTGCCTTGGATATAACTCCGCAACTCAAATAACGGCTGAAAATTCCTCAGCCCAAATATACCTCTACATCATAAATCGCCCAGGGTTGAGTTGTTAGTGATGTCAATTAAAACAAGTACTGCCGGGAGGATCTCAAACAAACTTCAGGGGAATATTTTGAAGTGAAAAAGCCATGAAACGACAAAGGCAAAAATCATGCATGCAAGCAGGAAATTTATGACGCGTCGCCCATGCCAGAATCTTCGGGTTTCAGAAAGGACGGCAGGTGCATTTGATACTTCCATGGTGGTTATTGTAGCATTGCTGGCTTCATTTGCCTGCCCTCCGGTAACGTTCAGTGCTGTCGCACCACAGATTTCACAAATGCTGGATCATAGAGAGAAGATAAGTGAAGTTAGATTGGGAGGGACTACATACACTTTGCTTTGCGATTGCAGATGTTTCATGTTGGCTTCTAAACCAATTACTACATACTAAAATCGAAGCTAAAGTCTCAGAAGAGAGATGACATAGCAGAAAAGGTACTCTCCGGCCTCCGCGCCTATCCTTCCTGACCAACATGCCACCGCATATACATTGATGCACCAAGAAAAATGTACACCACTCCCACCCGCTAATTTTTGGAAAGCTTATGTTGTCCCACCCCTCCTAAATGAAACCACATAACAACCTTGGCTTTCCAAGGTCTTTAATGGAAAATAAGCAACACGTCACAGATAACTCATCGGAAGCAATTGTCTTTTGTCATAGTAGCTCAAAAGGCAGGTAATGAAACATGACGATAAAACAGAACTATAGGTGCAGAGACAGGTGAAACATTTTATGTGAAAAGAACATGCAAAGACTTCAACACTTTTAAAAATGTTTTCCGTTTATTTGAAGGGAATGCCCGATGATTAATTCTCTGCTTCCAAAAATAATTCAATATTGCTCCTAACATGAAGGTTTATTCTAATCAAAACGATTACAGCCCCACACACACAAAAAAAAAGAAATAAGGACAAAAAAATATAAACAATACGGAAACGGTTATTGAGTCAAACATGACCAAAATGCATCAAAGCTCTTGATGTGGGGAGCAAAGTAATATGCATGTTCTAATATTTTTGGATGATGCATAAGAAATGACAAAACTAATAGCTCAAATAAGTTTTTTCTTGTAAAGACGTGCTTTTTAATCAAACCTGGCCACTTAACGCAGGATAAACTTTTCAAGATCATGTATTTTCTATATCCAGTTTTCATTGTCATTTATCAACCACAGGCAAAAAGATCAGGATCTAGTTTAAGATGTGCTGGGAGTGAAGATACTAGATTAGTAGCAGTGACATACTATAAATTATGAAAATTTCTGCAACTTCAACAAATAAGTGCCACAGTTGATAAGACCAGTATCAATCAAAATTTAGTGCTTTGAAGAACCAATATGTTTGATACCCAGCATGCAAGGAGAACAATAATCTTCAACCAGCCAAAGAAAGCCAAAAACAATGTTTCTTGGAGGCTAAATAAACAAAGTAAGAAACCTGAGTGCATCTATCATTAAGTACCTCAAAGAACATAAACAAAAACGGATCTTGGTTGCCTCAAACAAAGAGGAGTAAACCACAGAATAACCGAACCACTAGACGACTTTACTTCACGTTCTCCAAATTTAACCTTAAAGTAGGCAAACTATGCCACGAACCATCTTAAAATTGTACATTATTGTACAATGACGCCATAGGAAATTCTGTGAATACACCTGGGACGAAGGAACTAACTGTGGAAAGAGCTCTAAACTAGAAGAAAGAGTTGTCTGCAGATATCACCTAAGAAAAGATTATCAAGAAAAAAAGGTACTCTAGCAATTCCAATGGGTAGAAGTTAATCTTCCACATTATTCATTTCGCAATTCTAATGACATCAAAGTAGCCTATAGCATTTCTGCATTCATAGAAACATACTATAATCATGAAAAACACATAAGAATTATACTTCCTACATCAAATTTTATTTGGCGAAAAGCATTGTAAAGATCACATTGTTATTAACTTATACGAGACAAGTTAATAAAAACAGGAACTAGAACAAGGGAATAGAGAGCCATTAAAGTAGGGGAACTTACGTGTTTCCCTTGATTTTGAACCAAGTTTCAGCACAGTGCTTGTGAGCAGCAGCCAAATCACCTTTGCAAGAACAGCCCAATTCAATTGCCATTCCTCCAGAGGGTTCTAAGAGTTGGTCATCATCACCAATGCCACCACATTTCAACAAACTCAAATGACAAATTCTACAACTTTTCTCTTCTTTACTGTTATGCACCTTCAACTCCAATTCACCACTCTCCAAATCAATCTCTTCATCAGCCACTAAACCACAAGACCCTGATCTCTTGCTCTGCTCAGTCCTCATAGAGGACCCACATTCCTCGAAACGGTAGGACCCACCTGCCACAGAGCCTAAAGGGGAGTGCCAAGACTGGTCGGAATCAGAATCAGAGAACCGGAAGCTGCCATCAGTAGTCGTCTCGCTGCTCCCTGCCATAGATGGTCTCCTTCGACGGCGCCGGCGCCGTTGACGGCGGCGATGACGGCGAAGATTAGCATTGTCACCACTGCCATTTGCCTCTATGTCAGTGATAGCAGTGTCAAAAGCTGACATTTTTTAGTACCCTAAAAACTGTCTTTTAACTCACAGATTGAGCAGAAGAAGAAAATTACTTGAAACTAGAAAGCATTTAAAAGGGGTTCATCAAAAGTTCAAGCTTTGAAGCAAAAAGACTTAATTCGACTATTTTTTGGTGCTCTTTCATTTCTTGCTTTTTCTCTTCTTTTTGCTTTCTTCTTTTTTCAAATGTAACTGTTAATTGCAATGTGTATATGTAGGAGTGTCAGTTGGAAGCAGACGCAAAGGGGGAAAGACTTATGTACAGTTGTTTATTTCCTGTGGTGCAGAAAAGACATACTAATAATGAAAGAGAAGGGACACCCTCTCCCCCTCTCCACATTCTCAATTTCTTTCCACCAACAGTAATTTAATTTCGTCTGTATTCTGATTTTCCTTTTCTTTTTTCTCTAGTTTATTGAAATTAAAGTTCCAGGCTTCCAGCCCTTTTAGTTTGTAAAATTACAGTTTTTGTGACTGATAAATGAATGTAGGATGTGAATAGATTTGAGATTCACGTACTAAGATATGAAGGAATTAATTGGATATTCAGATTCAGACAAAAACTCGATTTAAAAATACATGAAATCCACGTGCATCCTCAATACAATTAGTCATTGTGGAATTAATAAAAAGATGGTGAAAAAATATGTTATGATTGGCATACCATTCTTATTATCTTGAGAAAATTGAAAGAATCGAAGATGCTACCATCGAGGTTAGTGTAAGAAAAACTTTTGCGGTAAGAGTAATGTGTCCGACTTAACAGATGAAGCTGCTAGAAAAGATTATCATGTGTTGAGAACACAAGGATGAACAATCTCCTTTTTTTTTTTTTTTTTTTTTTTTTTTTTTTTTTTTTTTTTTTTGCAAAATACATAAGTTAACCCATGGACCAAATTCTTGTTACACACTTTTTGCGGACGATAATCATCTTAGACACTCAACCTTTCTAAAGTCTAACTAAGACATACCACTTTTTTGTTGACCAGTTTTTAAAATATGCATCATGGAGTCATCAGCAACAGGATAATGTGCATCATGGGATATCAACACATTATGATTTGTAAGTTAAGTGATAAAGTTTTTATGTAAAGTTTGGATGAATTTGGAAACTCATTATTTTATTGGTTGTGCAGTGAAAACGAGCAACTTGAAGGTCTTGTCCTTACTCAATTGCCCGAAGACGACATATTTAATCGGGATCTCGCAAATGCGCAGAGTCAGGAAGATAATAGTGATTATGACAACAATGCTGATGAGTCTGCATATGACACACCCTTCCCTGATGAGGGTGATGATGATGAGGACGAGAATGATGAACCTGATATGACGAGGGAGCATGCTCCACCTCCCGTTAGACCAAGAGTGTACGAGTCCCATGTGCCGTTTCACTCAAGTGCGATTCCCTACCTTGATCAGTTGCCAAGTATGCCGGATGTGGATGCCCTCACAAGGGATTTTGACGAAATTCGGACAGTAATGTGGGATGAATCTAGAGTAATGGTGCTGTCAAAAGGCATGCTTTTTGCTGATAAAGCGCGCCTAAGTAGGGTGGTGCGAATGTACAGCATAAAAGAGTGTCGTGAGATCGTGGTTCATGAGTCATCTCCGGAAGTATACAAGGTTATTTTTCGTAAATGGTTTCAAGGTTGTGATTGGATGTTGCGTGCGAGAAAGTTGAAAACAAATATGTGGATTGTGGGGAAATACATTGGTACCCACAATTATGAAATGGACACATTCAGTGGGAATCATTTTAACTTGAATGTTGACTTGATTTCTCTTGTCTTGATTCCACACATTGAATCGTCCATGAGGTACAAGATCAAAGAGTGTATAACATCTATCCACCAGGTATATGGATGTACCATTACCAAAAGAAAGGCATTTCTCGGGCATAAACGTGCGTTTGAAATTGTTTATGGTAAGTGGTATAAGTCATTTGCCGCTCTACCCAGGTACATGGTTGCATTGCAATACTTTAACTCCGGGACTGTTGTTGAATGGAAGCTTGAGCGGAATCCGGGAATACTAGAATACATATTCAGATATGTGTTTTGGGCATTTAAACTAGCCATTTATGGTTTTGTGCATTGTCGACCGGTAATATCCATAGACGGCACTCATGTCTATGGAAAGTATGATATTAAGTTGTTGGTCGCCATTGTTGTATATGCTAATGAAAGTATATTTTCCCTAGCATTTTCTATTTGTGCCAATGAAAGCCAAGAGATCTGGACATTATTTTTGAACCACTTGAAGGAGCACGCTGTCAAACAACGTTCACGTATTTGTCTAATATCTGATCGGCATGGCGGTATTTTAAGTTCTGTACAGAATTTGCGTGCATGGCAGAAACCGTATGCCTACCACCGTTATTGTGTTAGGAACTTGAAGGCCAACTTCTAGAGGGCTTATCGGAACATCGAGGTGCACTGGAGTAGATGAAATATGTGCTAGATCCTCAGCATCCCTTGGTGATGAGCCATAACTCAGTCGTCGCCCACTATGCATCTCTCGTGTCGGACGAGAATCAACATCCGTCGATGGCTCTGGGGGATCATGAAAATACTGATCCCACTCCTTTCGCGTAATGGCCGTGCCCGCGATCAATAATGGAGCTGACGGGGTCACCTGTGAAGTCCCTGGCGACAACTGAAGGCTGAATAACGGCATGTCATGATGAGCATCGTGTGGCTCAGGGTGGTCACCTGACTGATCATCTTTAATATCGTCCATGGGTGACTCAACACCCCTTTGCTGGGGACCCCGTCCTCGCCGATCACGACAACCTCGTGAGACACCCATTCCTCTCTGTCGACGCCTATCATGTCTACCACGTTCAGGCTCCACTGGTGGCCCATGATGATACTCCTCTGGCAGCACATAAGCAACCTCGTATCCTAAGCGCTCATCATCTCGGGCACATCTCAATGTCTCGGCAGCAAGATCAGTAACTCGACGGCCATACCCATGCAAAGTTATCGCTCCCTCGCCGGTATACTGCAGCATCTGTAGTCCCAACTGGTAGAACTGATGTAAGCCAATAGCCTGCATAACATGTAAAATATTAATTAGGTAAGGATAATGTAACGTTATAAGTAAGTATAACAAATAACATACCAGTACCTCCTACCTCCCGGCGTATGGAATGTACCGACCACCAGCGCGATGAATGGGATTCCCGACGAGAAGTCAGGTAACGCTGCGATACCAACCCATATACTCATGCTCGCCATCCGTACGCTCAGGTGGAGGGGGTGGAGGAATCAGGTCATACCTCTGATCCCAAACGTCAATCTGGGCCTCTATCCAGGACAAGTATGTTTGGTCAACCCTGAAACGATCATCTCGCTGGTAATGTGTCCTAATCCAAGTGGGAGGAATAGGTATAAGTTGCGGTCGACCAAATTGGCGAAGGACTCGCTCGGTGGCATGATGCTCGACAATATCGAGACATATCAGTGGGACGAAAGAGTTCCGCATAGCTCGGACGCGGGAGCAATAATCAGGCAAACCAGCTATGAGCGCGTCATTATATGACCTCCATACGAACTATTAATTAAACACGGGAATCGTCAGTAAACGCAACACATATAAAGCCATGCCAAGTAAACTTAAGTATACATGTACATGTGCGCCTTTAAGCAAATCCAACAAATCCATGTAATAGGGGAGATGATGTCGAGCCTCGAACTCGCGTACGTAGCCTCGCCTATCAACCCACCTCCAAGCTAAAGGGAGAAATGGTGGAGGTGACGCATCCGGAGCCATCGGTGATAGAGGTGGCTGGAACTGCAGGAACCGCTCCGAGGCCCAAACCTAATATAGATTGTGAACGTAAAATTTAAGGTATATTTTTACTATGTATGTTATAATCATGAAAAGAATTGACTATGTTTTCACTTGCAGCAGCGGTAAAAATCCGGCAACATCTCTCTGGGTGCCTATGCACGCCTGACACATCTGCCTATACAGGTAACCTAGAACAGTTGCACCCCAACTGTAACCAGGTAAATCATCTAGCCGCTCGAGATGATATAGAAATCTCAAGATGACTAGGGTTTCCGAAGTGTTCAGGAACAGTACACCATCAAACATCAGCAACAACAACAATCTCGTGTGCTGGTCCATATCCTCCGCCGGTGAATCATTTGTAATCTTCTCATCCATCGCCGCCAGATGGTGCCGGACGGGCGTCAGCTGCAATCGACTCGCCCCACTCAATACAGTCTCCTCCGTTGGCTGGAAATCGGTGAGTCGCTGCAACATATGCAGGTAATGCACTCCCCTATAGTCTCTAAGAGCATGCGGGTAAGCTACAGGTAATCCGTCAACTGGTAGTCCGAAGAGAACCTCCACGTCCTCAAGCATGATGGTAGCCTCGCCGATGGGCAGATAAAACGTGTGCGTCTCTGGTCTCCATTGCTTTATCATAGCCGTGAGCAACGCCCAGTCAAACTGCAACCGGCCGATCTCTATGATCCTGTAGAAACCCGTATCCTAAAGGCGTCTAACTATACGGGGATGGAGTGGGTGGTCCCTAATGAACTCCCACATATTGTCTATACATCGGGGGCGGAATGTCTGGGATAAACACTGACCATCCCAGATGTATGAAGACCTATGATTGCCCTGTAGCAACAGTAGGGTCCAGGATGCACAGAGGGAACCTCCATGACGATGTCTGTAAATTGAACAATATTAATTAAAGTATTTTTCTTTTTGATTGCTTAACGTCTTTAAATATATTGCAATATCTTTTATATTAATATTTACTTGATATTTTTACTATATTATTACTTAAGTTGATACATTTTCTATATTATTATTTTATATGTTAATTTATTATTTTATATGTTAGGTTACTATTTTATATATTAGTTTATTATTTTATATGTTAGTTAATTATTCTATATGTTAGTTTATTATTTTATACGTTATTTTATTATTTTATATGTTTGTTTCTTATTTTATATTTTAGTTTATTATTTTATATGTTTGTTTCTTATTTTATAACTATACATGATATAATTAATAAGTATTCATATAAAAATACTTAGTTTGACAAATATTGTTATTTTTTATGTTATTTTCTTACATTTGTTGACTAACATTCGATAGAGTTTGTGTTTGAACTATCATTTTTTTCAAATATTTTTGGGGTTAACAAATAATTAAATGATTAATTTCAATAACTACAAAGATACTACGCTAAAGGGTACTACATTTTACTACACTAAAGGGTACTAGATTATAATTACGGGCACTACATTACAATTACGGGCACAACACAACACTAAAGGGCACTAAACAACAATAAAGTCACATATTAATATATGTACAACAATAAAATCAAAATAACATTAATCATTCATAAAATAATAATTTATCAATTTTATTAATCTTTTAGCACATAAATAATCTAATTCGGATAAAAAATAACAAATCGCGCGCACATAAGTTCAATAACAAATCGCGCGCACATAATCTAATCTAATTCAGAAGACGAAAGTTGAATTCAGAGATAAGAATATACTTAGAAGTACATTGACCAGTATCATAATTTTTGCATGTATGACGTTATTGTCAAACTTTCTATATACCATATGTGTGCTATTACATAAGTTATTCGGTGTATCTAAGTTTTTCAGTAACATGACATACACATTTTTTTCAAAATTAACCTATATACAATGGAAGATCAATTTTAACTTAGTCTATTATATATACGGTGGCACTAACATACGTAAGAAATAATAAACTTGACAACAAACATGTACGGTAGAAGGCCATTTGGTATTAAAGTATTTAAGTATTCATGTTGGTAGTAATTATTGGTATCATTTTCTACTGAGTCGGAAACTGAAAAATATTTTATTTTTATTATAATCGATCAATCTTTTATTTAGTTGATCAACATATTCATTTCTTCTAGCTAAAATATCTTTTTAATTCTATCATGTGATTTGCACAAATTGCGTTTTGATCTAATGATAGAAATATTTCTCTTATTAAATGCATTATTATTACCATTGGGATTGATAACCAAGTGTTCGGAAAAAATCAAATCATCTTTTATTGGATGTTCTTCTTCGTTTTCGACACGAAGCAAAAGACACTGAATACTGGATCTGTTCTTACTTTATATTTCTTGTTAGTTGAATCTTTTTCATTTGAGGCAGAAGTATAACTTTGGCAAGCTAGCTTTTACAGTCTCTGCTTTTGTTGATTTTGGAACTACTGGTAGGACTTAACAGAAATTACCTCCCAAACCATTAATTTTTCACCAAACGGTTCATTAATAAGAACTCCGGATAATTTTTTCGATTGTTTGATACTTTGCCATAAGTGATTCATCCCATATTATCAATTTTGCTTTTCTTATAAATTTAGCACCATTGCTCTGCTTTGATATATTTGTGATGGTTATTTAAGTTCTTTGAAGAGGTATATCCAATCTAAAGTGGGTGGCCTTACAATAAAATCGTTGTCGGTACACCACTTGCTATTATTACTAACAGTGTCATGCATCTTGATATGATATTTGCAAGTAATGCATGACATAGAAATATTATTTCGATTCCGTAGGAGACATCTACAAAGAATAATCTCGTTATACCAGAGTCGACTCTTTATAATATAGTCTTGAAAACTTGTTCTTGATTAGGATTTAGCTTTGATTGTGCTTCCTTAGTCACTTGTATAGCACTTTGATTCTTAATAATATACTAACATTTTTACTTTGTGTTCTAACGCTCTTTTTATGTAATACATTTATGTATCCTAAGATTTTTTTCAACTTGAATAAGAATTTAACTCATATGATGAATTAAAAAATAATTGAATTGGATTCTCTTGCTAAATAATTAATTAAAAAATTTAATTATTTGGTTTTAACATAGAAAATAATTTATTCTATGTTGATTCAGATCTTAATATTAGTTCATCTCTTGTTTTGAATATTTAATCTTAATTATAATTTTATCCACTATAAATTTTATTTTTAAAGAGTAAAAGATTGATATGACGTTTCACTTTTAGATCTTTATGTTTGAAGAATCATTAGTAGTATTGACTCTTACCAACCATTTTTTTTCTCTTTTTCACACATTTATATTCTTAAATATTTTCTTAGTTGTTGTTTAATAATTGGGTATTTTTCAATATTACACGAAAAATTGATTAAAAAATATTATTTGAGTAGGAAAATAGTTCAAATATAGTATAAAAATATATTATTATGGGAGTATTTTTTTTCTCAATTTCAACTCTTTATGCAGTCCATTTAATATATTTTTTTTGGTATTAGACATTATGGAGTGGTAATGTATTGCCAATACGGAGGATTTTTATGAAATTGATTTTATTAAACCTTCCTACATATTTTTAAAAAGAATTTAATAGACAAAATTTTATTAATTTTAAAATCTTAAATATTAAAAATTAGCAAAGAAGGTATTGTAGTCCAAAATAGGTTATTACAGTTATGTCCTTTCCCTATGAGTTCTTCCGCTTAATATTTTAGGGCTATTTTGGTATATTAATATTGTATTTATGCTTTTATAATAAAATAGACTCTCCTTTTTCTAAATAGATGACAATATAATACATTCTCAAATTAAATTAGTAATAGGACATTATAATACATTCTCGAATTAAATTAGTAATAGAAATTTTTAAGAAGTATATCCTAAAAGTAATGTGATTACATGGCTAAAGATATTTACTTGTTCAATTTTATATGAATTAGACCACCCGAAAATAATTATACTAATAGAATTCCTAAAGGTAATCATATAGGATTCCTAATGTGTAGTATTATATCCTAAAACTAATAGGATTATAAGACTAATATCTAGAATTCTTGTTATGTTATTTTTGTAAATCGACATTGTATTCATACTTTTATAATAATATAGACTAGTAGCTCAAAGAATCCATTTTATCTGCAACTTGATTGACTTATGTTCAATGAATAAACTATGACTGGCCACCACATGTCTAATCTCAGCCATGGAATAGACCAGGATGCATTTATACAGAAGCAGAGAGTGAGTTTCTCCAATAATCAAGCCATGACCCATGCTAATGCACCACTTCAGTCCAAACAGAAGCGCCTTAGCCTCAGCCACGTTACTAGTACAATTACATCTACATGCTCCCAAAGGTAAAGCATATGCTATCAAAGCTGTCCCTGACTACCCCACCAAGCAGTAATATACGACACTAGTCAAGAAGATATTATGATCCTTCCCTTTCCTTGATGTTACACAAAATACTTCAAAGGAGTAGGGTGCAGCAAATAAAAATATCTATTATTAAAAACTAAAAAGAGCTAGTTTCTGAAATGAGTCCACATTTCCATCACTTCTTTCTAAAATAAGGCAGTCTAGGTGCTATAACTTCATCACAGAAGGCAACAGACTGAAGCTTCACTGAATGCTACTTCATTGACATGAAGATTCCAATGCTAGAGCAGTTAATGAGATCGAGGAAACAGCCTCAAGCAGCTTGAACATCTGAATTTGGGCTACTTTCTTCAGCTTTCTTTATTTGATCAAGACTTCCTTCAGCTTTCTTGAAATTCGCAATGTACTTCCAGCACCTCTTATGTACACCACTCATTTTCTTGGGTGCGTCAGCAATTGGTAAACCTGAACCCAAGACTGTTTTAGTTACTTCCAGAAGACGAACATTAAAAATAGAAATATTAGTAGTAAGTAAATAGGAATGATTTTAAAGTTCATACAAATATCTGGGAAGGCTTGAAGAGAAAGTAAAACGACCTAAAGAAAAATCATCACTAGGAAGTGGGACAGTCGGATTTAAAATTAGTAGTCTGTCGCGTAATGGAATTTAAATAGCCCTTTTGGGACTAATTTCCTCTTAGTCCTTTGTTCCATATTTTACTGGCAAAGCTGGACGCAAGATGCACCATTGAACTGTTAGACTGCACATACCAATTAAACAGGCAATCAACTAGCAGTCCTACAATAAGAACATAACAGGAGTTCCTCTTTCTTTCTTTCCACCCCTATTTCTAAAAAACTCCTGTGCCAGAAACCGAAGAGATGCATCCAGGAAAACAAATCCAAAACAAACCCATGGCTCATACTTAAAATGAGTAAGATCTAAAAGGAGTACCACAATTTAGCTAACAAGAAGCTATGACTTGAGTTGGGTGCAAATCTTCTTTTCAAACTGACACCACATAACTTTTTCTGTTACCTCTTCATGTAAGAATACTTTCACTTAAAAGATCTCCTCAACCCCCACCCCAAAATATAAAATAAAAACTTCATCCAAAAGAATATAGAGAACAGTTTTTTTTTACCACAGCTTTTACAGTTACTTCCTTACTAATTACTATGACCTCCTTCTCTCCCACTACAGCCCAGACAGAAAAAGGCTGTCAGCTTTGAACTACAAGGGAAAAGGATAAGTGTAAGCCCATTTCACAGCAACAATTTTGTTATCACTCCACGAATAATATACCTCTCTGAGCGAACAATTGTATACAACTTTAATATCTGAAAGTTAACCTTCTAACCTTTAGAGTTTAGACGAGTCGTGCTACGTATGGTAGAGCCATACAGTGTTTAGACACCGTATTTGGTTTTAAAAATTCTAATTGAGTATTGTCAGACTCAGTATTAACAATGTCGGTATACCACAATCCAACCCAAGGGTTCATGTAAGAAGCATCCACATATCTTCTTCTGAAAACATATGCAAAACTATGTACGTAGATATTTTTCTTTTCACCACAGATAAAGAATTAGCTATTCATAAAATTGCTCAACTAATTGGAGCTAGCCTCTGCTTAAGCAAGAGAGCCTTATTTTTTTCCTTTCTTTTTTAATAATGTAAAAGGAGAACCAAGAAAGGACAAAGATTTCTTTTTTTAATTTCTATCTCAATATATCAAGAAATAAGAAGTGATATACATCCAATGTTTCTTTTGATAAGATCTAATACAGCTCAAGGCATTCACATTCGCCATATTTGGTCCTCCCTGTTCCTTCCTCATCAACTTCCTAATAAGCTCTTAAGTTTTTAACAAAACTCACATGAAATTCAAAAAATCCAGATTAGAACAGATCCCTGTTTTTCATTTACTAAACTCCATTTTTTGATAACCTTCATTTACTAAACTCCAGAAAACTGGCATTCCCTCCGTCCCAAGAAGGATGATACTTTTAAGATTTCGAGAGTCAAAACGAGTTGTTCTTTGACCATGACTTTTTCATATATCTTTTAAATATTTTAAATTGTTAATTATTGTGACTTATAGTACTTTTTATGTAGTTTCGAAATATATAAATTTTATTTAAAAAAACTTAAAGATTCTATGTTCGAATTCATGGTCAAAATTAAGAAATTTAACTCTCGAAATTCGAAAAGTATCATCCTTTTTGGGACAAAAGGAGCGCTTGTCATCGACTAGATATTTGTAAAATACAGATAACGCATCATACTCTCAGAACAAAAAGGTTAATACAAGAATTTTTGTGCGATACAAGCTCAATGTTCACTCACTCTTCAAAAGACTTGTCAGAAATCCAACTCAACAGCATGACTACCAGATTAGAAGACAGAAAAAGAAGAATATACCAGCCAGTTTTTGCATACAAAAAGTGCCAATAAGATGCTACAACTGATGCATGAAAAACAAGAAAGAAATCTAGTCTGTTGATAAATAGCAGAGAGGAACATCTAATCATATAGCTAAAATATATAACAAACCAAGATGATTCCTGTTTGAGGGAGGCGATTTTTGATAGAATTCCAAACAGGAAGAGTTGAAGATATAAGTGAAGCTATTAACAATACGGTAAAGTTATCAACTGTGTATGCTTATTACCGGCTAATCCAAGTAAAACAAATGTGGAAACTAAACCCTGAGAACGGGCTGGATGTTTGCATTAAAGATCCTAATTTTACAGGTCATCAATAAATAAAGAAATACTACACCTTATTCCCAAATCAGTTGCTATGCGAACCTCTATAACCATGTTTTTAAGGCAAATAGGTGTTCTCTAGGTCTCCCACTTATTCCACACGAGTAAGTTGCTTAATAACAATTACACTAGGTATCGCCTACAGTTTGCAGATCATCATTGTTTGACATAAGGCATAGAAAGTTTCCGACAAATTTTGAACACTTGAGATCATCCAAATGAGGAATTCAGAGCTCAACACTGCTCATTAAAAGCCAAAAGAATGCAATTTTCAATCTATAATGCTCAAGAAACAGTAAATCCATGACTCACCATCTTTATAAGCAAGTCCCCATGCCTTACCATGTTTACCATCCTGCAAATTCAAAAATGAAACCCAATTAAAAAAGTATACATAAACCCTTAAACCCTAGAAAGTAAACCCAAATGTACGCCAATGCATATTACAGCTATTACTTCTCCAGAAAAAGGAGAGGTACCTTATAAAGATTGATTTTTGTGATTTCATAGGAAACACCGTTCCAATGAGTCTTGGCCATGTGATAACCTATACCCCAATTGGGTAGAAACTGGGCCACCTCAAAAAGATTCTTCTTCTTCTTCCGTTTGGGCTTCTTAGGTCGATCGGCGGACGACGTCGTTGAAGGATTGTTAGTAGGGGTCGCAGTGCTCAGATTTCTGAGGAAACTGAAAGAGAACCTGACGTAGCTCGTGGCCTGATTGACTGTAGCTGCTCTGTTTACAAGAGCGTTCGCCATTTTCAGATAATCTGCTCCAAAACTGTCCCCTGTTCAAATGGGTTATGCCTCGGTGCGATGAGAGATGAAACTCCAATTTGCTTCTTCGTCCTTGCGGCGGAACTCTTTCCTCACTTTCTATTTTTCTTTCTTTTTCTTTTTCTTTTTCTTTTTCTTTTTAGGGTGGGATGTGGAGGTAAATAATGAGACAGAAGAAGGCAGTAAAACAGGTTTTAGGTATCCATGACTTTTTAGTTTTTACTGGTTTTTCCGCTATGTGTATACCGAATTATATAATATTTAATTTTATAACATAATATTAATATTATTAAAATAAAATTTCAAACAAATAATTATACATAAAATAAGGTACAAATTTTTACGAATTGGTCCACGTAAATCATCATATATTAACTTTGAAAGTTCGTCCCAAACAAACACTTAACTTTGCAAGCATTAGCTTAAACGAAACAACATAATATGTAAATGTAACCTGGTGGACAAAACATATATTCATTGCTAATGTCTTCATAAAAAAATGTATGTCACAAAACCGCTTAAGTTGGTAATTTAATATTTCATGAAAAGACTTTGTAAGGCTAATTAATAACAAAATATTTAATTTGAATTATCTTATTTAGGGAGTAGTAATTAATTTAAAATATCTTATTTTGATGTTATTTTGCAGGATCTTTTTTCTTTTGACTTAAAATTATTAATTTATTTTTTCAAGATTTATCATTAAAATTCAATTTAATAGGCTATTCGATATATAGGGAATTTGAATATGAAAATAACTTTTAAATACAGATAATATGAGTAGTAATTATTTATTGCGAGCGGTACAAAAAATATTTTTGGTTATTTTCTTAAAGAAAAAAGAAAGGGACCGCCTCTTTTGTATAATAAATACTCTTAATCTGATTTGAAATTCACAAAAGTATAATAATTGAAGTTTACTACTTGTTGTTTAGTTTCAAAATCTGTCTGTTAAAGGAACATAATTGCTGCTTGAATTTAGAGATGAACGATCTATGCGCAAAATAGTTTTTAATTTGAATTTAAAAATAAATTACTTATACTGCAAAATGCAAACACTGCGTCGTCTTGTCTAAAGCCAGTAGGAAAGCTCACGTCCTTAGTAGTTAACTAAGTGCACGTGCGTCACTTGAAAATTCGCTAACGATCTTGTACAAGTTGCTCACGTTCTTGCTATGCCAAGTCAGTCTTACTACACTCAAGATCGCTAAGAGAATGGTAGAAAGAACAAAAGAGAGTTGTTAAATGAAGCTTGGTATTAGAGACAACTTGAATTATTTGTTTGATGAATTACAAATGAATGACCCCCTTTATATACTAGTCTCCTAGGGCTAGTGTGTAATATTAATTGTTACACAAGTCCTTAATATTTACAAGATAAGTGCTTTCTCTAGAATTCTCTACAAGCCTAGAAGATTCCAAGGACTTTCCTAGCAAATCCATAAGCATCTAGGATCTTCCAAAGGAAATGTCCATACTTCTCTAGAATCTTCTCACAAATACTAGCTTTCCTCATATGTAAGCTTCCACATGGTATTAATATATGTCAAATGGTGCCTATGTGGCATGATGACGTGGTGGGTCATCACACTCTCCCCCACCTAATGTTGCGACGACCGCGGCGCAATGTTGCTGCATAAACTCTCGGATCTTATCTTTGAATTGCCATAAGTCTTCATATCGTTCCCACGTGGCCTCCTCGGGATATTGCCCCTTCCAATGGACGAGGAACATTGCGGTGGCTTTCTGCCCTTGTTTTTGCCTGGCTTAGTAATCAATAATAGCCTCAATCTCCTGGTCATGTGAGGCGATGATAGTAATAGGCGCTCGACTTGATTGGCCCATACTTGGATCATCCTTGTCTTCATGATATGGCTTAAGCATACTGGCATGGAAGATAGGGTAGATCTTAAGATATGATGGCATGTCAAGCTTGTATGAGATCTTGCCTACCTTGGCGACGATCTTAAATGTCCCCTCATACTTGCGAATCAAATTCTGATGCATGCCCCGTAGTGCCTTGAACTGTCTTGGGTTAAACTTCACCATGACCATGTCCTCAACTCTGTAGTCCGTGGGACGCTGCTTACGGTCAGCAAACTTCTTCATCTTCTTAGCTAGCTTATCCAAGTAGGACTTAGCAGTGTCAAACTGCTCCTCCCATCCTTTGGCCATATGATAAGCCCCCAAACTCTTTCCCTCGAACGCGGCTGGTAATGAATGTGGAGTTTGTGGCTGTTGACTTGTGGCTAGCTCAAATGGTGTCCGCCCCGTGGACTCACTCCGCTGCAAGTTATAAGAGAATTGGGCGATGTCTAGGAGCCTTGCCCAATCTTTCTGATGCGCGCTTACATAATGCCTCAAGTAGCATTATAGTAAAGCATTGACCTATTTTGTTTGTCCATCCATCTGTGGGTGAAAACTAGTGGAAAAGTGCAGTTCCGTGCCAAGTATGTCGAATAACTCTCTACAAAAGTTTCCAGTAAAACGGGGGTCTCGATCACTGATAATATGCCTTGGTAAGCCCCAATACTTCACCACGTTCTTAAAGAATAGTTTGGCGGCTTCCTTGGCAGTGCAACCTGGTGAGACGGGCATGAAGGTGGCATATTTGGAAAACCTATCCACCACCACCATAATGGTACCATAACTGTCAGACTTCGGTAGGCAAGTGATAAAGTCCATAGTCACGCTCTCCCATGGACGTTCTGCAACTGATAGTGGCTCCAAAAGTCCTCCTAATTTTTGTTGCTCAACCTTGTCCTGTTGATAGACAAGACAAGTTTGCACATAACACTCTATATTATCTCGCATACATGGCCAATAGTAGACTGACTCAACCAAGGCCCTAGTGCGACGTTGGCCTGGATGACCATCCCACATTGTGTCATGACTCTCCCTTATGATCTGCCGTCTAATGTCTCCAAACTTAGGCACGTAGACTCGCCGACCTGTGGTAAGTAGTAGGCCGTCTTCGACCCAAAAACGTCCTGTATTGCCCTGGTTGGCTAACTCGATAAGTTGTTTGGCTGTTGGATCATGTTGCGTGCCTTCTTTTATAGCCTCACGAATGTCCCATCTTGTTGAAGTAATTGCAAAAAGCTCGACTTTTCGGCTCAAGGCATCGGCTACAACGTTACCTTTGCCCGGCTTATACTCCAGCACATAATCAAATTCGGCCAAGAAATCCTGCCACCGAGCCTGTTTTGGGGTGAGCTTCTTCTGCGTCTGAAAGTAGCTAGTAGCTACATTGTCGGTCTTGACCACGAACCTCGACCCAAGCAAATAATTTCGCCATGTACGAAGGCAATGCACAATAGCAGTCATCTCATTCTCTTGCACGGTGTAATGCCGCTCCGTCTCATTTAACTTGCGGCTCTCAAATGCTATGGGATGCTTATCCTGCATCAAGACACCCTCAATGGAAAAATCTGAGGCATCTGTATGCACCTCAAATGTCTTGGCAAAGTCGGGTAATGCCAAGACTGGCTCCTCTATTACAGCTGCCTTGAGGTCTTCAAACTCCCTTTGACAATGCTCTGTCCAAACCCATGGCTTGTTCTTCTTTAGCAACTCAGTCAATGGTGCGGCCTTTGCTGAGTAGACACCGATGAACCGACGATAGTAGTTAACAAGGCCAAGGAATGATCTCAATTCAGTTACGTTTATAGGTGTCTCCCACTCCTGGATAGCACGCACCTTAGCCTCGTCCATGTGTAGCTCGCCATTGCTAATAACATGGCCTAAGAAGTGCACCTTTGATTGTGCAAACTCGCATTTCTCCCTCTTTATGTATAGCTCGTTCTCCCGCAAGACTTGGAAAACCTTCCTTAAGTGCTCCATGTGCTCCTCCAAGGTATCGTTGTAGATGACTATGTCGTCTAGAGGTAGACTATCACGAACTGATCGAGGTAGGGATGAAAAATCTTGTTCATAAGGGTGCAAAATGTGGCAGGTGCATTGGTTAAGCCGAAGGGCATCACCAACCACTCAAAGGCTCTATATCTCGTCACACATGTTGTCTTTGGCTCATCCCCTTCTGCAATGTGAACCTGATAGTAGCCCTTACGAAGATCCACCTTGGTAAATTACTTGGCTTGCCCAAGTCTATCAAATAAGTCAGCAATGAGCGGGATCGAATACTTATTCTTCACTGTGACCTTATTAAGTGCTCGGTAGTCTATCCACAAGCGTAGTGATCCATCCTTCTTCTTCTAGAACAATATTGGTGCGCTGAAAGGTGCCTTTGATGGGTGAATGTGACCAGCATCTAGCAGCTCTTTCAATTGTTTCCTGAGCTCCTCTAGTTTGGGCGGTGCCATACGATATGGGGCAAATGTGGGTGGCTTAGCCCCTGGCTCCAACTCAATCTTGTGATCCACCTCTCGCCTAGGAGGCAAATACTTAGGCAACTCCTCGAGCATGACGCCTTTGTTTTCCTCAAGCAACTTCTCTATGCAAGGCGGCAGTGTCTCTTGAAAACTCTTGTCTTCCTCTAGACTTGTGGTGGTTGCCACGAACGTCGGCTCCCCCTTTGATCCCCTTGACAACCTACATAGTTGAGAGTTGTGCTTGGATCTATCCGTGTGGCATAGTCACTGTAGGTACCATGCAGTCTCCTTCTCGCTCTATAACCAAGAGATGTTCGAGGTAGGGGTCGATCAAAGTATGACAATGTCTAAAGAACTCTTGCCCCAATATGATGTCAAAGATATTCATAGCGGTTACGGTAAAGTTTGTCATACCTTTCCAAGTTCCCAATTTGACACCAACTCCATTAGCTACCCCCCGAGCATTCTGTACCTCGGCATTCACAATCTTGATGCGAGAGTTGGTTGGAGCAAGCTTCAATTCTAGTCTCTTTGCGGCAGCCTCGGTCACGAAATTATGAGTTGCTCCAGTATCCACCATTGCACGAGCAGGCTTGTTGTTGATGATGAGATCCACGTACTGATTGCCATTCTCGGTAGGTTGGATAGCTTGCTTCGTGACAACACCACATAATCTGATCATACCCAACTGTGCAGTTCCCGAACTCTCTGCTTGCGGCTGCTCCTTCCGTTCACGGCGCTGAGGCTCTTTAGGTCGGGACAATTCCTGAAGTTGTGTGTCCCTCCGCATATGTAAC